TTCCTCTTGCCACACCGCCCTATTTCTTAAGACGCGTTAGCCAACAAGGTCAGCGCCTCTTTTGGAAGCTACTCCCGAGACCTAAGCCAGGTATAAAGCAAAGTCAACGGGAGATGAATCGCTAGGAGCCGGCGATTAGGAGATTATCAGATTGAAGCGTCTCAGGAGGAAGCGAGCAAAAATAGCAGCGAGGCGGCGGCGAGGCGGCCGTGACGCAGGGCAGAGCAGGGCAGCGCGCGGGGACGGCGCCGAGCGGCGCTGCTGCAACCGGGGCCGATTAGGGAAGGAGCCGGGCGAAACCACAGCGGGGACCCGAGCCCCGTGCACGGGGTCAACCCAGAGCAAAGCAGCCCCTGCCCAAAGCCCCTGATGCCTCCTCGTCCTGGCTTCCCGCAATGATGGTGCCAACTTTTAAAAAATGCCCTGCTGCAGCTCGGTGCATGGGCACTGCCTGCACATACGCGTTGCCACACGTGCTCTCCCGTATTTAAGCAGTTCATACGTAAGCGCGAGACTAATAAAAAAGCCTCCATCAGCACCTAAGTGATGAGTTATGGCAAAGCCTCGCTAAGGGCCTTGGCGTGTGTCACCTTGTCCAGGGAATGGGCTCCTGGACACCGCTCCGCGATGGAGAATCGCACATGGGTCGAGTTTTCCTCACCCCGGCCCCAGACGAGCAGCAACTCATCGCACGACACCCACAGCTAATCAGGGCTCCTGATCCAACAGAGCCAAGACTGAGGGTGGCGAAAGACACGGGGACAGAGCAGCTCCTTGGGCAGCGCCACGAGGTAGGACAGGGCGCTTGCGGCCACCGACGTCCCGGTAATTGCAGACGGGCTCCCCTGATCCTCTGGCTGCCTCTGTAATTAATTGCAATTTGAACTCAGCTCTGCCCTGCTCCTTTGCTAATCCCAAGCTAATCGTGTTGGAAGTATTTTTTTTCCTCTTTCAGTAACTGCAGTTGCATGAGCTGGTAACAAATCCCGCTAATTGCAAAAAAAAATGTTTAATTTGCCTTGCGCCTCTCATTGCTGCAGCGGTGCCAGAGCCAGCCCACCCAGAGGGCTCAGCTCTTCCACAGCAGCTCCCCAATCCGCCAGGATCATCCCTGAAATGGTAGCGGCCACGGAGCTGAGGGAGAATTTAACATTGAAAGGACACACCATATGCAGGACAGTTTGCACAACTCCCCCCCTAAGCTTATTAGAAACACATTAAAAGCAGAGCCCAGCTGCCCTTCCCGGCTTCCTGCACGCTCAGGTTACAGAAGAGGCTTCTCTGGGCTAGCAAAAAGGCCTCTGTGGCCACCAAGCACCTCCTGTTTGTCCAGATGGCCAGCCTGAGATATTTAACACGTATCACGCATGCAGCCGGTCCCTGCAGTAGGATCCCCAGCATAGAGAGCAGAGCACGATCCCCCGCTTGTGCTTCCAGCAAGGGTTTTCCCCAGATCCCAATGCCACGGAGCAGCTCCGGAGCCCGGCCGGGCTCTCTCTGTTACAGCGCCCGTGCCATCCACCTTTGCTCGCGATCCGACGGCTCCTTCCCGCGTGCTCCGAGGGCACCGAGCCCATTTCAACCTCCAGAAGCCCCGAAGCACCTCGACCCTCTGGGCGCTGCACGAGCCCTGCGCCAAACGAGCCCGCCAGCTCCTGCTCCGCAAAGCGCCACGTCCGCATCCCGCATCCCGCAGCCTTCGCTGCGCCGGCCCGGCCGGCGGAGGAGCCGGG